GGGTACGGGGCTCGAGGGGTGGGAACGGCGTCCCGCGTACTCACGCTGCGCTTCTGCTACCGAACAGCCCTTGCTCCCTCGCTAGCTCGCTCTGACAGAGAACCGGACGTGACGCAAGCGTAGAGGGCCCGCCCCGCCCTCCGAGGCACGTGACGGGGCGTGGTCTCGCCGCCGAAACCAACACCGAGGCCCTTTCCAGGGCCTTAAAGGAACCGTCCCTCGCCCCGAACACCTGCCTTGAAAGTGATATGCAGCAAAGGGGGGGTCTGATCTGAGTGAACGAGAGAGCGAATAAGACGTGAAAGACAAACACCGAGCCTTGCCCTTGTTCCATAAGTGTTTCTTGTATTGAAGATCCCCAACACTTCTGGCCCATTTTCCCAGGTATGATCCTACCCCGCCAACCCCAGCGTTTGACTCCAGCTGGAAAAATCCAAGTCACTGTTTAATTCCAGAAAGCGCCAAGAAATTTTTGCAGAGATCGTGGGCCACACGCACTTTTCTCTCTAAACTGAAGCCCTAGAGGTATAAGATAGTTCACAGAAGGCAATGTAGGTAGTAGATTCTTTCAATATGTGTTTAATGAATGCCTACTATAGCCAAGAATATATATAGTTACATTCATCCAACATATTTAGCAAGCACCCACTATGTGCCAGGCACCACAGGAGGCACTTTACATATATTAGGAACTCATCCTAACAAGCACTTTCCAAAGTAAGAATGATTATTTTCTCCATTTTATAGATGAGGAAACCAAGGGTCCACAAGGTTAAATAAGTTGAGGGAGGCTATACATGGAGTGAGTCATGATGCCAACTCTGCACAGCCTGACTCCCGGGGCTGCAGACTGAGGGACAATGCCAGAGCTCTAGTCCACTCCTTCATGGAGTGTCAGGCCAGATGACCACTTTTAAAAATGAAACACTGTATATTTCCTTTTATATGACCTTCCAAAAAGGTAAAACAATCTATGGGGATCATGTTACCCTTAAGGGCTATCACTTGGGAGTGAATATGAAGGAACCCGATGGGATGCTAAATATATCTTGGTCTGGGTGGTAGTTGCACTGGTGTATCCAGATGTAAAATTTTATTTAGAATTTGTGCATTTTACACTATATGAGATACACTTCAACGAGAAAGTTGAAAAAGTGAAAAAAGAAAAATATTAAAATTAAATCATATGAACAGAATAGATTCAATGACATGGAAGCATAGATGAGACTGATGAATGTCAGAGGGATGGAGGAGGGCAGGTGGGTGGAGGGGGAGAGAGTAACCAAAGAATTTATGTGCATATATACACAACCCAAGGACATGGACAATGGTGGGGAGAGGGACTGGGGAGGGGGAAGGAACGGGGTGGAACGGGTCATTGGGGAGAAAAAGGGACATCTGTAATATTTTAAACAATAATAAAAAATATATATATATAATGTTAAAAAAAATTTTTAAAAAATAAATAAAATTAAATAAAATTAAATCGTAAAAAGATGAAACACACTCAATAACCACTGTTCTAGCATGGTAGCTTGCTCAGCTGAAGTTTGCACACTCAAAGGCAGTTAGGGATGCTCCCCAACCAACACTTTGTCCAC